TTTATAAACACTTTTAATGTGAAAAATGGTGTCTCCAAGCTGAAAGTAAAACTGTTAGCTTAAGTCATCTGTGTCCATTTGTATATAGAACAATATGTCATCCACCTTGAGCCTGGGAGAGTCTTGTGGTTTCCTATGACTTCAATAAATAATACTTGAATTTCCTATGAGCTATAGTAAACATGGAGCAGATCACTGCTACACAAGTCCCAAGCTGCTGGCTGAAAGGCATGCTCCTGAGCACAGTTCAGCAGGATCGGACATGCCACGCAGTGGGTCAGGGCAGATGACAGGTGCCCAAGGAACCCAGCAGCTGCTGCAGAGAGCATCATGGTGCACATTTGGGAACAGGCAAGTGCTGGACCTCATGAATCCTCCAGCCAGAGGGCCACCCGGCTGCCAGGGAAGAACCAAGGAGACAAAGCTGTTCTGGGGCAAAATGGGAAGAAGACGCAGCTACAAATACACGGGCCCTGTTGCCTGCAGTTGGTGAGAGCCACGGGTACTGCACCAAGCACTGCAATGCCAGTCCTGAAAGTGACATGCAGCGGGTGAGTGCATGCTGGGAGAGGCTGTGTCTGCCAAATGCCTGAAAGCGGGTTGAGGGACAGGGCCTCGGCTTCATACTACTGGCTCAGCCTGAGCACTTGTCCTGTGCTAACCCTCCATGTTATCTCCCTCAAGGCCTCTTGATGATTATAAGAGGAACTCTGGGAATTATCCCAAGGGAAAATAATGGTCACTGGTTAACTTATGTGCTTGAGTCATGGTGAAATGGGCATAAAACAAATCATTCATCTGTATGTGTCCAATTCAGAAAAGTGCTTACAGACTCAAGAGAAAACATAGGTGATTGCTCATTGACTTAGTGTTGGCTGGGGATAAAGTCAAAACTTTATTATGAAATAATAATAGTGACTTTCATTTTTAATAGTTGACATCTTTTTTTTAATGCCAGGTACTATACAATAGCTTTATCTATATTTCTTAAATCCTTATAACCCTATGGGTATATGATATGATAATGCATTTTACAATGAGGATCTGAGTTCAGGGAAGTTAAGTAATCAAAGGAGCACATTTGGTAATAGTCAGTGCTAGGACTTGCCTGCTTCTGAAGCCCCCGCCCTGGGGTTGCTCTGTACCTCCATGTGTGCAGTGGCACTGGAGGGCAGAAGCTCCATTATAAACACTTAACCACATGAGAAATTGTGTGGGTGTTCAGCAGAGCATAAAAATAAACATATGCAATGAAGCTAATTCTTCCTAATGGGTAAATTTATTAAAAGAATTGTGCTTCAAGTCAACGAAACTTGCATTTATGCACACAAAGAACAGAATAACTGTTACTTTGAAGAAGCACAAGATGACAGGGCTTCAGAAGACTTTCCACAGTGCCATAGTGATGCAGCCACCAGGTACCCCCCACATACACCACAGAGACCCCACCATAATTAAGCTTCTTCAAGCACCCCTACCATGATTAAGCTTCTCTTCTTGTCAGAAAGACTTTTACAAAGAGTGTCAACAGGATTTCACAGGATTTCTGCAGAGAGCTCAATGTGGTTTGAAATGTCCTCTCCTGTAAATGCCAGGTTGCAAACAAATGGTGTAACAGACTCCTTGGTAAAATCTTGTGAAACCTCTGTCTAGCTGAAGGATATGGGACAAAGAGTACCTGCCACGTAATCACCAACTGCTATATACCCAGTGCGCACACACACTGTGTATAAATCTCAAAGAATTTCTAGACCCAGGGTCCAGAGATTTTTAGGCATTAACCCCTCTGGACCACTGCAGCTTAAATAAACCTGCTCCCTAAAGATTCCTCGGGTGTCCAGCCTCATCTGTCCTACAGTAATAGGAAATAAGATATTGCCCTTCATTTCAAGAAAAGATCAACTAAACATATGGAGCAGAATACAGAGCTCAGAAACAGGCTCATTGACATGATGGCATCACAGAGCAGTGGAAGAAGATGGGTTTTTCAATAGGTGACACTGTGTTACCTGTACAGCCACTTGAAAGAAAGAAAAGGGCATCTACTTTATGCCTAGAGACACAGTCCAGGTACAGTATGTGAAAAATAAAGCAAGAAAGCTCCTAGAAAACAAATTGGGTAACTTGCAACTCCATAGCACAAGGAAAAATATACTCAGTAAAAAAATGGGCAAAGGACCTAAATAGACATTTCTCCAAAGAAGAGATGCAGATGGCTAAGAGGTATGTGCAAATTTGCTTGGTGTCACTAATCATCAGAAAATGCAAATCAAAACTATAATGAAATACCACCTCAGACCTACTAGGATGGCTATTATCAAATGAACAAAACAAGTTGATGGTGAGGACGTGGAGGAACTGAACCCGTTATCCACTGCTGGTGGGAACGAAGCATGGTGCAGTCTTTACGGAAAACAGTATTGGAGGTTCCTAGGAAAAGTAGGATCCTGAAGGAGTATCTGCACTTGTGTTGTCATTGCAGTGTAGTTCACAATATTTAAGATACAGAGTTAACCTACTTGTCCATTAGTGGATTAATGAATAAAACATATCTCACAAACACACATAGGAATATGAATGGGCCTTAAAAAAATAATGACAGCAACATGGATGAACCAGGAGGACGTTACACTAAGTGAAATAAGCCAAACACAGAAAGAAAAATACACATTTATATGTAGAATCTAAAATACTCACTCATAGAAACAGTAGAATGAGTAGGCTAGGAAACTGGTCAAAGAATTATGTTGGCTTAATGTATTTAATGTTGCTATAATTGAGGAGAAGTTTTTATTGATACATACAGTCTAAAACCATTCTCAGGTCAAAATGGTGGGGTTAAAAATTCTATGCATTTTGTATTGGTTCAAAATGTCAAATACCTCTTAACTGTAGTGTGCTTTAAGTTAAGTAAAATTTCTATTTTTTTTTAATAACAGAGACTAGAAGGAATAATGACCAAATAAGAGCAGTTTGACTTGTTGAAGACATGGGATTATGAGTACATTTTGATTATAATTCTATTAATGTTGCTATAAAGTAACAAAATATTTAAAGATCAGAAATTCAGTTCATGATTGTGTTAAGTATACTATTAAAGTCTGATGCAACCGGACCCTGGAGCCTGCAGAGAAAGTCGCCCAACCTTTTTACTCACTGCAACCCACTCCCATGGTGCTTTGCTCCCCCTGGAGCTTGTGCTTTTCCTGCTTGTGCTGGTCTTTCTGCATTAGGGCAAGAATCGCCACTGCATGGCATAAGACACCAAGTGGCATCTGTTTTGTACACATTTACGAATCCCAACTCCCCATTTTTCCAGACAGAACACTGTTTTCTGTGGTAAGATTCTGTTGGCTACTCTTCTGTCACTGAATCGCTCATGTGCCCCTTGCTTGTTCTGAAGCCACCTGGGAAAAGGCCACACTGACCTTCTGCTCACACTGGCTCCGTGGTTTCAGGTGTTTGCTCTTCTCTTTCCTGAGGGGCTTATTATGGTGCATCAACAACTGCTTTAAAGACATTTTAAAAGCTGTGTTGTAGCTGGGTAGCAGAACTTTGTCTCGTGGAGGGGCATTAGAAGTATGTGAAAAGCTCTGTTTTGGAGGCAGACAATGTAATGTAGTCTCGTGGATTTAGTGACCGTTCACATTTATTCCTCAAGAGTATTATTAAATTAGTGTGTACCACCATGCCTTTAAATCACACACAACCTGAATCCCAGCTGGAGGCTCAGAGAACAGGGTCGTAGGCTCCCTGTTACAGCTCCCGTGGCCCCTGGCCCCCAGGGCTACAGTGCAGTCAACATCCTCTCAAAGGTAGGCCTTGTCCCTCCGCACTGGTGGATGGAGGAGTGAGGGCACCCACTCAGCAGAGGGAACTGGGTGCAGCAAGCAGCAGGTGACTTAAGGAGCATAGTCACTGGGGCATGAGGCTGCCCACCATCGCCCAGCGACAGCCCGGATGCTCTGCAGAGGTGAGGCCCAGAGCAGTGAGTGCCTCCTGAGCTCCACGTGGTTTCTGCCACCATGTCTACTCTGTACTTCCTCAAACATAACTCTGCTCCTTTGCTCACAAGACTTACTCAGAAAACGCCCTTTAAGTCTCTAACATTCCTCACCAAGGATTATGACAAGATGTTAGAATCCAAGGCAACGGTAGGCGTTTGGTCAGGGCAGGGAGGCTTTTCCTTCTTGTATCTGCCCTTAATCCCCCGGTGATGCTTGTCCATGCCCACGTGGGACTACAGCTAGCAGAGGAGCCATGGTGCAAACGCCTGGCTAAGAAGTGGGCATGCTTCAGTCCTTCCTTCCCTCACTCATTCATGAAATTCTCATTATGTGGGCCACATTGTGTATACAAACGAGAATGTCCTGGTCCCTGCAGGCCTTCAAGACACCATGTACCCAGGGACCATTAAAACCTGAGCTGTCTGTGTGGGAGTGTCCGTGTTCTGGGTGGGCTGACGAGTCACGGATCCCTCTATGGTCAGACGAGCAGCACTGGCTGCTGGACAGGGGCTATCCTGCCTCCAACTTGGGAATATGCGGTCCGCCTGGGCGGAGGGTCTGGAAGTGAATATCCAGTGTGCAACAACAAGAGGGTGGCCTATCTAGTCCTTCCTTGCTGAATAGAGCTCTCTGCTCCCGAGCTGGCGATACTGCACTTCCTATGCCACACGTAACCCACGATGAAGCTCTGCAGCCAATTGAGTGAGGGGTGAGTGAAGTGTCCCCTGTGGTACAAGCACCTCTGCCACAGGACAGAGGGCAACCCTGCATGGGATTTGCAAGGAGGTGACAGGAGGGTGGCTTTAGTGGCTTTTGATGACAAACAGTAGCATTCTCATTGCACGAAGATGTATTTGCCTGCACACTTCCACTCCCTCTTCCCTGGTTAAAAATATTCTGGAGAAAAGTCCATAAAAGTTCTGAATCGTAAATCAAGGCCACCAGGAATCTATCCTGTGGTAGATCACTGCTCTAACTGTCTCATTGATGCAGGCTGCAGCTTGAGAAATCACTCAGTGCTGAGAGTAGAAGTCCCTGGTGGAGCTGCCGCACGTCCTCAGGATGTCTGTGGAGGACAGAGCACACTCAGGAACGCAGAGGAAGACGGTAGGAGAGGAAACAGCTCCTTTTATTTAGACTCCTTCTCAAGTCATTTAATTCAGTTCGGCAGATATTTACTGAGTACCTAGCAGGTTCAGATGACAACCTGTCACTTCCCAACCTTTACTCCGGCTCACGCTACAAGAAAACGTGTCTATGATTCAACACTAAGTTCCCTGTTTTCCACTGTCCATCCATTTAGCTTGAAGATAGGCCGGCATTTCAGAGTCCAGAGTAAAGTTCTTGATCCATGAATTAAAGAAGGGCTCACAACTCTGCTCTTCACTGGCTGTGTTGGAATCTTAGAGAGATTGTTTCACAGGAAAGGAAGTCAGTAATGCCCATCCGGTGATCGGAAATCCCATATATATAACAAGCAGCTGCAGATGGCATTGAAGGCTGCAGTAGAATTCTTCCTCCTCCTCAGCAACTCAGGCAGAGGGTGTTGAAAGAAAGACTGCAGACACACGTGTGGCTGGGGAAGGCAGGGTGCAGCTGAAAAGTCCAATTTTAGAAAGTCAGGAACACTGTAACATGTGAGCCTCAGAGAGGGGTGCAGGATGTAAAGTCCTGGATAGCTAGCTTGGTAGTCCACTTCCAGAATGACCTTTAGGCTGTCATTTAGAAGACAATCCTGCTGACCAAGTTGGCATGCTAAATAAAGCCCACAAAGAGGACATACTGAATTGATAAAGCTTCATGCTTCATTAAAGTTTGCCAAGGGAGAGAAATTCCAGTTATAGGCTGATATCATCTTTCACATGGTAGATAGGCAACAAATGTGGAATCCAAGTGAGTTTGTTGAAGTGTGTGCAATTACACATCTTTTCCCAACTTGATGCAAATAATTAAACTGCTAATAATCCATTAGAAGAGTGGCATTTTGTTTATGCGATTAGGCAAGTTATTTTTAGAGGTAAATGAACACTACAAATTGTGCCCAACTGCCCAGAGAACATTTTACAGCCGTGTGTGTCCAGAGAAGTCAGTGGTTTGTCTGGGGGCTGTAGCTTTAGTGGAGTTCCTCAGCCAGGGCCTGGAAAGTCTACACAAGGGGGATGAAATTGGAACATTGGGATAAGCCCTCCTCTATCAATAAGGGGCGTTCTAAATGACAAATGACCATGCTGTCACTTGTAGAATTATCTTTCACTTTACCATCTCTATTGACAATGTGGAGTTGGGGAGAAAAGATTATTACTTGGAGAACTTATCTTTCTTGTGAAAAAAAAAGTTAAAAAAAAGTTAAACACTGACCTATGACACTTTTCACGTGTGTTTTATACCTACTTTAAGAATATGAGATAAAGTAGGGCATGGTGAAGTTTGAGGCCAGCCTGGGAGGCTCTGCCTCAAAACAAGAAGGTCTGGGAGTGTCACTCGGGGTACAGCTTCCCTGTGGTCAATCCCCAGGAACACACACACAAAGACAAATTGGAACCACGAATTAAAATAAAATCTGGGGTGCAGTAATGGAAGGTGAAATATAGTAGACGGCTCCAGCTTAGGAAGCAGATGAAATCACTTCCTGATACATCCCACTTCTGTACTCTCAGAGCATTGGGGTCTGGTGAAATAGTCTAATCCACTCTTTCTGTGGGGGATGTGACCTATCTAAATGGGTTTCATTCCAATTTCTGGATGATCCTTAGAGCCAGTGCTGGTGAGAACCAGGCAGTAGCTGGCATTCAGGGAACAGGGGAGCAAGAGGGCGTGTGAAATGTGCTCGAGGCCCAGCATTGGACAGGCCGCAGCTTCGGCTTCTGCCGGGCAAGATGCAAATGCAGGGGGGATCCATTCCTGGCCAAAGCTTCCGTCTGTGTGCAGGGTCTTTGAAAAGTGCCACTTGACATCCATCATCACACACAGAGGCACATTTTAAGTAAAGCTGATCTGTGAAATATTAGGTTATTAATTAGATACCTCAGGATGAGGTTGCCCCCTTTCTTAGATGGTTTTTCA